CTCTGATAGTTCCACTTAAAGCCCCAGTGGTGTCTTGGTTGTTTTTTTTGTGTGTGTTCCCTTCCTGATTGCTATTAACCAACCACAGTTCCTTTGTGTACTCAACAACTACAGCCCAACATCTCTGTCATTACATAAGCTCACAATGCTGTTGCTGCTGCTTTAAAATAAGATTAGAGAAAGTTTCTATCACCCAAATAATTGCTAACAGCAAGTGGCCAGTGTGTAAGTTCTGAATATTTTTAAAACTCTATTATATCCATCATCCAAACAGGTTCCCAGGTTTAATCTCATGTCCAAAAAAATACACAGGCTTCCAGCAGGAGAACCATCTGTTTTAATTTCTGTCAGGTTAGAGCAGTACAACCACACGGGATTTTTTTTAAATTGAAAGTCTCCAGGATAGGTGACATATGGGTCAGATCTGCAGAAGAAAATGTTTTATTTTATCAGTAGTTTATTTTAATGTAGAATTCACTTTGCAGTTTGTTTTGGTATTAGTTGAAGTTGGTAGAAGAAGCAACAAAACAAGTAGTAGTTGTGGTAGCAGTAGAATAGTAATGGTACATAACAGTTTGTGTAGGTTCATGATGACAGAAAAGTTAGCCTAGCAGAGCTAACAAAGCATGCATGGCAACACACACTGGGTTTCCCAATGCTCGTTTTTTGTTATCAAGAATGTCAACCTTGCGAACGGTTTAATGGCTCGTTTGTTTGTGCATTTAGATTACGTTAAAATATTATTATTGTGTGTATATATATATATATACATACATATATATATATATATATATATATGTATGTATAGCATATACAAAGGTCCTCCATTTGCTCAAGTATTTAGTGATACCAATCCATCAGTGAGACGTGCTGTGTTGTAATGAACGCTCCACTTTCGTCATTTTTGGCAGTGCCTCCGTGTTGACAGAACTCTGAATATCGAGGGCAAGAACCAGCACATGCTAATATAAAAAATCAATGATGTTTGAACATAAATTATACATGGAGAAATGACTCACAAAAGCAGGACGGCACAAGTGCAGTAAAAGTGAAGCTGCGTGATAAAAACAAAAAACAACGGACATCCACCATGGGCACAGCGTTGCACGGTAAAACCTAAACCTTCTCTTCTGTTTGGCAAGTTCATTACCATAATAATATTAACACATTATTCCTGCAGTTGGTGGTGGCTCAGCACATGTAATCTAGATATCAAGTTGCACAACATAGATTCCTCTGGGTGCTATACTAATTCCATTGTGTAAAAACAGTCAGCTGTGGAATTCGGCTAGATTAAATTCACACCACTGAAAAAGTCACTTTTAGTTCCCTGAGCCCCCAGTGGCAAGTTTAGCAACACACTGAAGCCCAGTAATAACCTACATTGAATCAGTGCATTAGTTAGCACACACAGGAGCAATAAAATGTCTGCTGTTTTGTGTTCTTTCATGTCCACGGCCAGTGAATAACAGAATAATAGGTAAAAGGTAAAGGTCCTGACTGAGATACATGCCATAATGAGAAGTTTAGGTTAATATAAATATATATAATTTAGAAATAGTTGCATTTATTTTTGAAACACATTTCAAAAGTATCCAAGAATGAACACAAAACGACTTGATTAACACAATATCAATACATAAATGCTCATGTACAGTACCAGATCTAAAAAGTTCAACAACTTCCTGTTGAACTTGTTAGAGCAGTTCTGCTTCCCTAAAGCCCTCTCTGGAGGAGGAGATGTCGTCTAACCATGAGCATCAGTTCAAGTTAGTCTGAATGGTTTAATTGCGTATTTTAGTAATATATATTAGTGATGCAGAGGCAGCATAAAGTTGTGAAGATGATGCCCTCTAGTGGCCATAGATCATATGGGGTATATTTTTAATATGCAAGACAAGACAGTACTTTATTTATTTGTTTATTATTTATTTATTAAGCAACCATTCTTGTGTCTACTTCTTTTAGCCCATGAAGGCATTTTTGGCGCAAGCTCAACACACCAAAACCCAGGTTTGAGATTCAAATCGACAACCCTCTGTTGCTGGATCCCATCACACAAAGGTCTACGCAAATCAGTACCTCCTGAGCTACATGCATTTCTTCAAAATCTTTGCATTGGATTTGTGTAAGGATGATATTTAATATCATTCATTTATCAAATGAATGGTTGAGAGGTGAAACATCTCCAGGAAACCAACACAGTCCAGTTGGTCTGCACTGCTTTGGATTAAATTACCTGGATGACTGAGAAGCTTCACAGCCATCCACGACTGATACAGCTGATCAGTCAGTGGACGTAGTAGATATAGCCTTACAATAATGAAATATCTGTGACTGTGATAGCGTTTTTACAGAAATCAATTTGAGCCAATTCCACATTTCACACCTAATTTTTCAGCTCGCGCCTCATGGTGAATTTTATTAAGTGGTAAAATTGTAATAAATGGCACTTTAAGTGCTGAAGGTTGCACACCCCAACTTTAACCACTTTCACGGGCTGTCTGTGAATGAGGAGAAGGAAACAAAGGTTTCGCCTCATTTACAGCATGCAGACACAGTGTCCCTGTCCCTCTCAGTTACTTTAAACCCAATCTTATACCTCTGTATTTTTGCTCTGTCAACTGGTTTATTGAAAACACTTCAAAACTAACAAAACAACAAAATTAGACTGAGCAGAAAGCTCTCCTTGGTAAAGAGTCAAGGTAAAGCCCTGCCAGGTGGGACACATGGACACACACAGACAGCCTGATCATAATACTTGCTGTCCCACTGTTGTTAGACAGCAGGTCCCACAGAGCCATCACAGGAGGAGCGGGAAAATAACCAAGCCGCTCTTGTCAAAAACACGCAATCTTTACTTTTTGGATCACAAACTAAGTGGCCTCAAGTGGAGCGATCTGGTCTGAGCCACTGCAAGTTCCATTTTAATTTTTATAAAATAAAGGGTGTGAACTGCGAATCTTACCTTCTCTGCCAGGTCCTTGGAGGAGGAAACGTCCTGCAATATAAATAAAAAGGACAATTAAAAAAAAAAGGAAAATTTAAAATGTAATATCTGATTTTCATTTCTCAAATACATCCCTTACATAATTGCACAAATGATTCCTATCTTTGTCTAAATACCACAGTCAAACAGTAAGCTACTCTAATGTTCATACAAAATAAATCCAAATGTATTGACAGTCAATCACATTCATCAAAATACTCCACACTGCAACAAAGGACTGAATCACAGAATTAATCTGCAATTTTATATCCTCTAGCCTTCAGGCGGTTCCATATTTTTACATGTGTTGTGCATCCCTGTAAACCTTGTTCACTTTGCCAAATACTGGTGCGGGCATGAGAAGAGGGAAACACAGATGGAAAAGACTACGTCAAGAAGAAAATAGAGGGAAACTTAACCTTGTGATCCCTGAGGCAAATGAAGTCTTGGAACCAGATGTGCAGCATTACACTACAAATGTAGACCGAGGACAAGAACGCTGAAAGGAACCTATTTGGTTCAAGTCAACTACAGAAATACGTTCAGAGAGGGAAAAATGAGACACAAAAGGAAGCTCTGGGTCCTCCGACACCAAGATGACCTCTCAACAGGGAGCTGGATTGAAAGTAAGAGGGGGAAAATAGATTTACAGAGACGGGAGATAAGGAACAGTGTGGGTGAGATTTGTCATACTTGAGGAGGGCAAAGACTGCTGCGAACCAAACACAGAGACAGAGCCTCTGCATCATAACCTCATTCGAACAGATTATCTGACAGTTTGTAGCATTACTGCATAATGGTCTAATACTGTAGCCCGGAGGAAATAGGTAGGCCCCTGACCAGCTGGTGGATTGTTTCATACCAGCTTATGATGTGCAGACAAAACGCTAAAAATCAGACAGCATAGGGAATTGGTGTGTAAATTTAAGGATATCAGTAGCTGAAAGCTAAGAAACTATTTATTATCTTGGAAATGTTTGGAGTGATAACTGATGCCGTGCTTATTCCCGTCTGAATCCAGTCCATCAGCTTTGCTTGGCACAACATCAGCAGCAGGGAAGCAGCCCGTCTGGTGCTGCCTAAAGTTACCAACATCCAAGAATTTACCAAGTTTTGTAACGACTGCCGCACCTCACTTACAGAACCTAAAAGTTCCCAGCAGACACTTGAGGAGTTCATCTAACTGCACTAGACCAACAGCAGGTAGATGTTAGGTCGCTAACTTTACTGCTGCTACTGTACTTTGCAGAAATGTCACTAATACTGGTGTCATTTTAAGAAAAATTCAATTTTTCAAATGCAAGCTTTGGTAGCACGTGAGACCCCCAGATTGCTATTTATTTCACCGTTTCACTGCTCTAACAGCCAATGCCGTACTTGTCAATCTCTCAAGCTTTTCACGGGGAAATGAAAGCAACAGCTGGCTCTGGAGATTGAACAAAGCCAGGAGGAATGTTAGGAGGAGGAAGGTTGATCACGTGAGATGGTGCCAGGCTGCTCAGCCTTCTGACAACGGACCGTTAAAATAATGTAAATTTAGAAAATAAGCAGTGGAACAGAGAAGAGCATGCTGGGAATTTAAACCAATGTGATGCACTTATTACATTACCCTATGTCTTTTCCTTTTTAATAGTAAAAAAACAAGTACATTTAAATATTCTAGTCGTGTATAGTCGTATCCACGTGTGCTGTTGCAAACAGCGCTAACACCTGGTCTGCACACTGGAATGTCATTTTTTCCACAGTTGATTTACACAAAGCTAACAAAGAGACGACGAAGAAGAGGAGCCCTGACGTTATCGTGAGTATTCACGTTCAGGTCTGTGCCTGCACGTGTAAATGTAACACAACCTCAGAGATACATGGAAGAAAGAAATGAGGGCAGGTTATAATTCATTAATTAGTGACAGGAACACATCTGTGATGCAGCTAAGTTTGTTAGAAGAGAAAAGTCGGTGGTGAGACTAAGGCCAGAACATGATACCATATGGGATAAAACCTCTTGATGCCCAAATTAAACAGTCAGCCTCCAAGTAAGTGATAGCACAGGGGAAGCGGGGGAATGTCAGGTGAGGGAGAGAGAGTGGGAGAAAGGCACCTCTGAGTTATAGTCTGGTTAACTGTCTGGCTGGAAACATTTATGAGATTGATTACTGTCTCCTGCAGTCTGCCAGACTTCTAAGTTAATGCCAGTACTCTCTAGTACACTCTATATTTATATAGAAAAAAGAATAAAGTTTCCACACATTTTGATTGAGAAATGGAAAATATGCAAACAAATATATGGATATAAAGCGGTGGAAGGGACGACAACAAGGAAACTGTATAAATCTGTGGAAGATGTGTTTTTTCCATTTATACATCAGGAGTTATATGAGGATTACTCACCACTGTTCACAGACACTGAACAATCACAGTCAGCACTTTTAATGTTGCTTTGTTCAAAGAATGCCTCGGCCAAGAATTAGGGTTTCTGAATCAATGGCCATTGGAATCAAAACAATAGAAGGTGATGAACCTCCTTCTCAGACAATCAACTTGTTATGGTTGGCTTCAAATAAAGAAACATTAAAAGTCTTTATGTCTGTACTGTACAGCTTGTGCCAGAGGGACAAACCATTAACCTTCTACTAAACTGGATATGAACATATACAGTGGATATTAGCGCAAAGAATTTTAAATCAAGCATTTCTCAATGGAATCAATTTATGATTACTTTCCCAAAAGAGAAAATATTTATTAAATTCTTTAGAAATTTACGTGAAGCAAGTAAATTGTCAGTAAAGTCAAACTGGAAGAACATAATATTTCATTACATATGTCTATATGATTCTATAGTATTTGCCAAGGCTCAAAAACGGAAACACTGTTCTAAACACTTAGGTCACAGCATTGGACTGGCACATTTTTGAGTTTTTGTCAATTTTGGGGACAAACCATGAAATGCCACTCAGTCCTACTACTTCTTTTGTTTGCCTTTCCTCATAGATAATTCAATCCTTCCAAACATCTAATGCCTCACGGTAGGGACATTGTTTTTTGGCCGTTATGACTCACACTTTCTCCTCCAAACAGAAGAAATGTCTCTGTGGCCAAATACTTCAGATTTTTTTTTTCTTCTCTGAATGACTGAGTACCCTCAGTCTGACTAAGAGGTGTCTCTTGAGGAGAGATTTTCTGTTGCTGCTGGCTTTGCAGTCCAGACTGTTGCAAGGACCCAGTGTCTAGATTTGTTCTTTGGTGAACTTCTTATATCACAAATGACAACTTCTTATGGGTTGAAGTAAAATTCTGTTTGAATTTTTTTACTGATATTTCTAAAAGAGTAATTTCAGTGTTTTAGATGACTACTACGCAGGTTTGTGCTGTAGCTCAGGTTTGTTAAAAAGTTTGATTTTCAGCAGGGAAATTACACCAGTGGAGTTTGAAAATGATGTAAATAATTCAAACATGGATCAACAGCCAAAGCACAACAATATACTTAGTAAATGGGTCGTACTATTACAGTACTTTGTTGGTCCTGATAGCCAACACGACAGGTTCTCTAAAACCTTCAGTTATAAAACAACTCTACTGCCCACTGAGCTACAGCCAACCCAGCCCTACTGTTTGAATCACTGACAACAGTTGCACCAGTATTCCAGTTCCACTTGTTTTATTCTGGTCCAACTCATCTGGCATCCTCAGCTGAGCTAAGGCGAATATCGTCCAAAACTCTAAAGTGGTAAAGGTTGCAGCAAAGACCAAAACATCTCTCTCACAGTGTTATCAAAGAAGATCAAGAACCTAAAGTTAAGTTAAAAAGAAATATCCTACAGGCTGGTGTTTGTTCACCAGCAGGAGCAGCTGAGACGACTCACACTGTCTCGTCAATAAAGCTGCTCGACACTGACTGTTTCTGTTTGTGTTGTGTCTGATGGAAATCTTGTTGTTTTGGTTGAATAGTCTGTGTTTTTGTCTCAAAGTTTATAAATGTACAGCTTTCTTTTGGTTTTTTTTTTTTGCTGTTGTGAATACAATGCTCCAATTTTTCACAGTCTTTGGACCCAATGAATGCAAAAAATGCAGTTTATTGTTAACTTACTTGATTGAATGTGTTCTCCAGCAGGTCATTTTCAGCAGCACGGCGACTCTTAGGAGCATCGGGAGGACACTGTAAGGAAAGAAAAAAAAAAAAAATTTTATACCTCAAACATGTGATTTTGCTTTGGGCTGATGTTAACAACTGTTTGATCTAATCTGGAACTTGTTATGTGGCCGGCCACAATGTCTGTAGAACAGATGTTAAATCTAATTTTTACGATTTTTCACGACGTACTTTTTTTTTTTCCTTTCTTTATGATCCATTATAGTATCACCAGTCAAATGACTGGAGCGTGTCATGTCTCTGGGATCACCACGGTGGATCAGCTGCCTCCTCTGCTTTTACACCAAAAAATCCTTGTCTATGTCCATAACTCTAAAGTTCACCTGTCTCCATCTCAACTCCCTAGTCAAACAACACAACTGTCCCTCTGATCTGCTCATCTCAGCTCCATCCTGGTCACTCCTAGTGAAAGTAATAGACTGTCAATCTGTTGCTAACATTTCATTAGCATGAATAATTTAATTTGAAGCACAGCAAATCTTTAATGAAATTCTGTATCTGCACAAATCCACACAATCTTTGTGTGCAAGAATAAATAATTCTGGCCAAAATGAGGACGACGATGTTGATTACTATTTTGATTGTGATCATTTCTTTGTACGTTTCACTGGAAAAGTGTATTTGCATATATATTATAAGCTCTCAGTACGACCAAGTATCTCACTTTTGTGGTTTTAATTAAAGTATAATTTGATCAGCAGCTCTTATCAGTGCAGCGTGGTATCCCCGACTGCCATGGATTCACTTTGACACACGACTGATGACTCACTCCTATTAGAATTATTAGTGGCAATCTAATAGTCAGGGATTAGAATGGTGCACTAGATGTCACCCCTTTAAAGAAAACTGTAAGCAGTACAGGGGCTAAGGTCAGCCAAAGGTCACATCTACATTTGGACTGATGACATGCTGCTTGTTGCAGACGTGTGCAATTTAAATGACTTGCGACTAACGGAAAATAATTATTATTAGTACCACAAAAAGAAAACAACCGAGACAACGAGACAGAGAGAGCAAGAGCTCCATGCAGGTTGGTGTGTAACCCTCTTATTTTAAACTTTAATTTAGCTTGAAGGGAGCCCTGCAGCTGATCCCTGCCTTCAGCAAAGGGAAAAGTAAAAGACGAGACAACTCCAGTCTACTTTTCTCCTGTGTGGACATGAATCGGAGCATCTCCAGCTTCCTTCAACCCAGGGGTAAAATTATTAAGTAATACAGCAGACACGTGTAGACACAGTCAAACAAGCTAGAGAATTTGGCCAAGGTGTTCCTTGTGCCCTGAAGTACAAATCATACTTATCATGTTGTAAAATATAAAATATATAATTGGCATGCAATGTTGCAGAAAAAATATAAAATGTATTTCTCTATTTACTTTATCAATGTTAATTCCAGTTAACATCACAGCCGTTGACATATCCACTGTCAAAGGGTTCAACCAAAATGTCTAGTAAGAACCAGAACGTTGTTCTTACTAGACTTTTTTTCACTAACTAATGTGCCTGATTACAGTTCCCGCTGTGATCAATCTGTTACTCTCACTCCATAATTAGACAAAGTAATGCTCTCAGCAACATGTTTCTGTGGTTTTGGTTGAAAGGAGAGGGGGAGGAGTTAGTGGTCAGAGGAAGAGTAAACGGTATGCTAACAGGCGCCACAGTCAGGTGCAGTCTCGCACACGGATGATCGAGTGCATAGAAAATTAGGCGAGTCCTGAGGTTGCGTTTTTAACCGGCGGTGCAGACGTTATTTTACTTTCACTGAGGTAAAAGGGCAAGAATGTTTGTGTTAGATCTTTGTTATGCCTAGAAATATACACATCCACTTAAAGTAATTTTACTCTAATGAATCACCTGTCAAACTCACAATGACACATACGTGTTTCATATTATATTGAATATAGTTAAACCATTTACTTTTCAGAGTAGGAAGAATAGTTGACAACAGTATGTGTAATTAGTAATGATAATCACAATACAATAATCACATTGTTCAACATATGCTTTAAATATATATATGAATCTAGTAGAGTAATGACACTGATAATAAGCACATCATCAAGAGGCTAAACATGAACATTGGTTTCTGTAGCTACAGATCATCCAAGTACCATTATCGTCCCTTTACTGACTTCAGGTGCTAAGTCAAACAACCTCCAAAGCAAAGGTATCTATTTGAAGTGGTTATAACAAGAATTCAAACTCTGCAATGTAAGAGGGCTCGCCCTCGGACAACCGTCTGGACAGAAAATCCACAGAAAACCAAATTAAGACGGCAGGTACCGAGAGAAAAGGCTCTAATTAAAAAGGAGTTGAGGTTTGCGTTTCCGAAGCTACAAATAAAGGCCGAGTCGTACTTCGGGCTCAGCAATTCAACACATTCACAGAGCAAACACTATTGACAAACCACAGTTGATGTGACATTATGGCACACAATGGTATTACTCTGAGCCAAAGTCAATTTGTGGACATAATACCCCATGTTAAACACAGCCTCCGAAGAATTTTTCAGCCAACGTAATAAGACAGGCCTTTTCATATTTGTGCAGGTAATTGATGGAGTGGTTTACAGTCAGGACTCTCCCTGCATATCAATATCTGTGGGCAGGAAGCCAGGGGTTTCTTTCCTCTCTGACCACCTCGGCTCAATTTGAGCTCAGAAAAGGTGAATGGATGTAGATTAACGAGAGTAAATCTCCCGGGGAACCGCAGAGACTTGGTTAATTCAGATAATGCTGAGTCAGCAATTCCGGCAGCTGCTCCTTACAGCAGAAAAAAACAACAACAAAAAAAAAAACCCAAACAAACAAAGGGGATTTACTGAGTTAACTTTATCTATGGTCTACAAATGAAACAGATGATTCCATCAATTGCTGTTTTACTTAGTAATTTGAACGGTCAGTGCAAAGTCAATTATCAAACCAGTGTGACAAAAAAGAAACATATATAATACTTCATTCTTGACGTTTATGCGCTTGTGCATGACAGGCATTATCATATGGCTGTTGTGAATATTTTATCACCCACTTTGTCAATATTTTATTTGTTGGTAATTAGTTCGTGAAGGCTGTCGGAATGACTTACCCTCGCTCCAGGTATCTCACAGCAGGCCTCCTGAATGGCAAGAGATGGGTCACAGTAAAGCACCGCCTGCTGGATGTCCATCTGAAAGTAAGAGTTGGGAGGGGAGGAGGGGGGAGGATGACGCTATTAAAACAGACTGTTAAGCCTCCATATGTCCCCCAGTTTGTTTAATAAAGACTGTAGATAAAGTTTCAAGCAGGAAGTAAACACGGACGACAGCAAATTATTGCCCATTTGCATAAAGTATTAGGGTTGCACATATGTGTGTGTGTGAGAGAGAGACAGGTGGCCATGTACCAGTGTGTATTTATACAGCTAGTTTTAAATCGTAGAGTGACCGTGCTGTGAAATATCAGTACAAACGTGTGTGTGTGTGTGTGCGTGCGTGTGTGTGTTATATGAGGACATGTGACCATGTGTGAAAAATGACTGTGTGCTGACAGCAGAACTGAGCTGCTTCCATCTTGGACCAGTTCATTTATCATCAAAACTAAGTGCATGGATTACTGAGTCTATTTAGCCGCATCAGGACCGATGGTCTTTAGGCTCTTACTCCCAGGCAGTCCATTTCCCCTTTTAATCAGGACTTAATGAAACTGACTTAAAAAAGAAAAAAGAAAAGTTGACTCACAGACACAGCTAATGGTATAGGACTTTAACACTTGCACTAACAGAAGCTGAAAATTCCAAACATAAAAATGAAACATTCACTAAAACAGCCTTTAAAAAAAGCATGGCTTTATGTGGATGTGGGCTTGAAAAGAGGCCACACAATCAGGCTTGCGTTCACCAAGGGTGTACTGAATATCATTATGCTGCAAAGCATCGCACCATCGTTCTCTACGGTCTAAGTCCCGCTGAGGGATTTTGGTTCTTTCAAAGCATTTCTGTTATGGGGAGATTAAAGGTCAGCACATTTTCAAAGAATAAATGTAGGTGACATTTACACTGACCTCACAAAACAGTCAAACCAGTGTTATTGCTGTCACTCACTGGTCTGCACAACAGAGCTTATCTTTAGTCAAAGGCTTCTCCCGCTGTCATGACAGGAGCGCTCACAAAATATTAGGTGTTAAAATTCACAAAAGCTTCACTGTCTAATTTTTTACTTTTTTTACGGACGACAAAATATGATTAATTTACACTTTAAAAGTAGAATAAAGGATTATTAATATATTCTTCAATGTATTTATTTTTGGTGTTTTCTCACACTAAGTGCTGTTTAGCCTCTTTGAGGTGTATATGGATATTATTATCATACCTGCACAGGTCCAGCATCAGAGGCCCGTATGCCCAGCATGGTGTGTCCATCAGTTGCCATATCTCCATGTGGCTCCAGCAGCTTGGTCTCACCAGAGCTGCAGTCTATGAGGAGGGAGGCCGACTCTTGTTGAAGGCTAATGGCAACCTTGTGCCAGCGCAGGTCCATTAGCGTCTCCACTGCCTCCCCAGAGAAAACAACACTGACTGGGTCTTCGTCGGTGCCCACACCCTTGACTCGCAGGGACAGGGTGCCATCGGTGCCGCTGAAGTCTACAGAGAGCTGGAAGATAATCAGGGGTTAAAGTGTGTAAAAATCAATGTATGAATTTGCAGAAGTGCTAACGAGGCAGCGGTGATGGCATTCAGCGCAGGCCTTTGAGGGAGAACATGCACTCCAGTGTTCTGACTGGCTTTATGAAAGGGTAATAAGAGCACACCAGGACTCTGTGGGGAAGCTGTAGAACACAGAGGTAAAGACAAGGTAGAGGGAGAGACATATTAATTACACAGGAACACAGGAAGGCCAATCAATCACTCCTAATGAGGCAGCTCCAGCGTCATCCATCATACACATTGAGCATTTAAATCTGCTTATACTGACTATAAGTGATTATGGGGACTCTGCGGGACTCCAGCGCTTCATCATTGAACACACAGGCATAGCAATGAAGGCGAATGAAAGAGGCGAGCGGCAGATGATTGAGTGAGTGACAGAGGGAGACACTGCACAGGAGGGAGAGAAAGGCAGAAGAATGAGAATGGACAAAAGACGAGCGGAATTAAAAGTGGGTTAAAAATCGTTAAAAAAGGTGCCGCAAGAGAGAAGTATTTGAAGGGGAGAGTGGATGACTGTGCAGAAAAGACACCA